TATAGCGCATTTGATCGTAACGGGTTTCCGACCGAAAATTACATTTAGTATTATATTACTAAAATATTAGAAGATAAAAGTAATAACACATTAATTAGAGTATACATGATATTTTTTATTACTGATAAAGTTTTAGTTATTAAGAACTTTACATGTCCACACAAAATATACAAGGAAACTAATACATTATACGTTTATGCTTCAAGGTTGCAGTTGATCGAGGTCGTTGTCTCAATCAAAAATAACCTAAAAAACCACTAGATAGCTAGGGTATGTAAGGGTCGAATCCACGAAAGGTTTGTGGTCAAACTTTGTGTTAAAATAGTCATCGGAAAAACTACTACTTATGACGAAAAATATTTAAATGAAAAAACTAGAAACTTTATATTGAAATTGATTATAGTGATGAAAACAATATTACTTTTGGTTCAATTGATGAGATTCCAAACTTTACCCCAATATATTAGACCAAAACGATACGGCCGAATCCAAAATTTTACAACAAACACTTATCAACAAAACTCAATTAAAAAAAAACTTAATAACGAAAAGAAAAAAGATATTGTCCCATGGTTCACCATGGAATCACCTCCTAATTAATGGAGTATTAAATATTAGCAATCTAAACATTCCTATTGTAAAGTAAGTAACCAATTATGGTCCAAACCGGTTACTAACGATAATGGTAAACAAATGGATATTAACTTACACGATCAACGTTTATAATGCATAACCATGGCCGTTGATTATTTTTATTACGTAACTAAATCATGGGTAGTAACTAATGCAAAAAAGTTACCAAATCACAACGGAAGGATATTTAATTTCTTGTTTATAAAACATATATACTATTTTGATTATGTTTCTCATTGTATTTCTCATAATATTGGAATAATTGCTTACTTACATATACAAAATGTTTTATTCCAAAACCTTTTCCACACGCAAGATTTACCAAAATAAATATTATAATCAAAATGCATTCATTATCTATATTTAAATACAATGAACTTTTATTCAATTCACATTGCACACTTAAAAATCTTTAACATGTATTTAATTAACATGCCTATGTTACAACTAACTGGACGTGTCAAAAGTGTCGTGTTATATCAAAACAGTAAAATGGTTGAGAGAGCTTGACTCTAATCTGACTGTTTAATTACGTGTCGTGACAACCCGATAATTTCTAGTCAACAAAAGTCAATTTCCGTTAAATAAAATTTCAAATTTTATTTATTCCGTTAAGTCCTTGTTGGTTTGAAAATAATCTAAAATATATAATTAAAGGTTATATAAGTTTTCAGAACCAAAAACACTCGAAAAATCAAGATTTCCCTCGAAAAATCAGCAAACTCGTTTAGCCGGACGTTTACGGCCGTAAACCCATGGGCTGTAAACCACTGGGTCGTAAACCCGTTTACAGCCGAGAACCCCATTCCTGGCCGTAAACCCAACCGATATAAAGGTTTTTCCCGGAGAGATTCTTCATTTCTCACCTATTTTCACCCGAAAACTCTCTCAAGTTGCTCCCAAGAACATTCATATCCTCAAGAACAAACCTTCAAATCTTCATATTTTCACCAAGAACACCAAGAACAACCTTCATATCTTCAAAGACCGCAAACCAGTTCACAGCCGCAAATCAGTTCACCGCCGCAAACCAGTTCACGGCCGCAAACTTAGTTCACGGTCGTAAACCCAGTTCACGGCCGCAAACAGCCTTGATCCGGGAACCTTGGCTGAAACCCTCTTTTTCCACTTCAAACAAGTCTCGGTAACATTCCTAACCCAAAAGCAAGTGTTTCCTAACACTTTAATTAATGGATTCGCTAATTTAAATACAATTATGTGTTTAATTATCATTAGGATACTGTTAATTTCCGCGTACTCCAACTCGAGGCTCATCTTTCCGGTTTTGCTGTCGAACACGTGTACATAATCAACTGTGAGTTCATACCCCTACACTTTTACTGTATTTAACGTTTTCAGGGGGAATACAAGCAAAACACAAAGAAATTTTGTGTTCTTATATAAAGGATTTCAACAGGATTAAAACTTATGCAATTGATACAACCAAGAGATCACTACATTTATAAAATATATAGATATTTTATCCCTTTTGTAACATGCTGAGCATAAGGGAAGTTTTCAACATACAACCATAATTGCAAAGTTTTTAGTACAATACATGAATCGAATACATAACATACATGCAAACTATAATATGTATAGTTTGGGATTCAACACACAGTTTTATCAATTCCAGAGCTTATACATTTACAAACATATAAAGTATGATAGATATAGTTTATGGCATACAATACTATTTCCTGAAAACAAGAGTACAATACTAAGTAATTATTTAAGTATAATTATTTTTACTCTACAAGTATACATACAGTTTTAAGTACAAGAGAACATTACAACACTACACGTAAACTAGTTAATACAGGGTTGTGAAGCACTACTTCAATTGTACCCTTCGGGGTGCGGAACTAAATCCTACCACAGTATAACCCGAGTCTCCTGGAGGGAGAACGTGAGATTTGTGAATAGATCTATTCGGGACTGACAATCCCACACCTAAACTGCTAACTACAGTTAGGGGGACATGCCTGGGGTGACAAATGTCATAACATCCGACGCCTGAAGAACGTCGTAGAGGTCACTAGGTCATATCAAACATGGTTATACCAAACTCACAACAATATAAACTAACCATTTGTTTATGGGATTTCAATTCTTCAAATAGTTTTATTTTCATTAATAGAACTATCATACACTACAACCGGAGGATTCCAAGGAATACAAATACATGGTTTTATTTTAAGTAATAAAACTACTATACATACTGGTGGTAGCCAGGGTTTTCATACAGAACACATTATACATTACTGGTGATAGCCAGAGTTTTCATACAAAGGTTTTCATACATAATACATTATACATTACTGGTGATAGCCCCAGGGTTTTCATACAAAGGTTTACGTACAGAACACATTATACAATACAACTGGTGGTAACCAGGCATACAGACTAACATTTTCATATACTACTACATAATATAGTAACGAACGTACATTTTGGTCTTAGGGTTTAAGACTACTTTTTAATTACTAAAGAAAATATTGGATTTTCTTGAGAACATGCAAACATTTTACAGATTCACAGACATGTTTCATTACAAAAACATACTTATGAACTCACCAGCTTAAATGCTGATACTCTTTCAAAACCGCTTGTATTCTCAGGGAACCGGTAGACAGGTACACTCGCGGGTTTTTGAGAAGACGGAGCTTTTAGAGTTGCGTCTTTTATACTTTTGGTTATACATTTTGCTGTATACAAACTATGTATCGAACATATGTAAATACCTTATATATATTCAATGTAATGGTTGTGTTTGCTTTGATTACTATGATGCAATTGTTGTGATACTGTACATGACGTCCTCCACCCCCGAATGTTTCCGCCGTCTCAGTTTGGGGGTGTGACACGTGTCATGTCGTATCAACCACTTATTTTCATGACGTATCAACCATTTATTTTCATGACGAGTTCGTGTCAGGTTTAGGTTAGGGGTATACTTTGAAAAGTGTTGTGACATATGAAGTTGAAACACTAAACATGTTCAAAGAGTATGAGTTAGCTAGACATAAAAGATAAAAGTAATAGTTGGGAAAGGATTGGCAAAATTCATAGTAAGTTTATATGGAAAAATGGAAAGAGTATGAGTTGGAAGAGGAGGACATGATCATGAGGAGGAGAGCGTGGTCGACAGACTGTTTAGTTTGGAAGATAATGAAAAATCTGAAAATGAAGTTTTGACCAAGATGGCTAAGTCGTTTCCACATTACAAAACGACCCAACGGAAATGTTTTTTTTTTCCGTATGTTTTTAATTTTGGGTCCTTATAGTTTATTTAAAGAATTAAAAAAACTTACATACAATTAAATGGGTCATTTTCAAGTTGAAACTTTCAATCATAACCTTATCCATTTAACGTTCATGTCGTGTCGTGTCAACCTGTTTAATTAAACATGTTGAAATATCTTACTCAAACTCATTTATTCTGTGTAGAGTTTCGTGCCGTGTTAGTTTTTGCCATATTTCTATAATTTATTTCAAAGAAGAAATAGCCAACAAAGAAACGAGAAGAAGGAAAGAAGAAAAAAAAACGGTTGAGGGATCAATAGAGTCCACTTGTCCTCGTTTATTTGTTTTTATTATCAATTACTATATAGATTTAATAGATACTATCATCGTATAGATATTCTTTTATATCAACTATCATTAAGGTAAAATCTCATTAATATATTGGTCTTTGGAAGAAGGGGTGATCCATGTTTTGTGTGTTATTGCTTTGGTTTTAAAAACATCTACATGGATTGTTGTGATGAGACGACCGAAGGTGGTAATAGTGGCGGTAAAAGATGTAGACAAATGACAGTGACAGTTCGATATTAGAAGGTGAAGAGTGGTGTAATTTCAATCATGTTCTTCATTTTAAGTTTAAAATTCAATAAATAATAGTAATAATAATAATAGTATTTAAAGGCATTAATATTCTTTTTATTTTGATCGAAAAACTGACATGCTATATCAACGTCATATAAACACGTTCTAGTGACTAAATAACACATCGAATGTCATGTTAGCTAGGCAACCTGAATGAACGTTAATAGATTATAAATTAGTATTTTTGACATAAATTTTGCCATACAAAAAGGCTTAACGACACAACTTTTTATCTGTTTGCTTTCTTATTCGTTGTACGATGTAACTAAAATGTAATCTCAGATTGATATATTTACCAAATTTGCCTAATTTAAAGACATAAAATACAAAAAACAAAGACAATATTACAAAAAATAAGATAAAAACTTATAGATGATTTGTGTAGTACCTGTCTAAAAAATTAATAAACCTGATTAAACGTGAATTATGGTTACGAAAGACCAATCAGGAATAGTAAATAATACTACTAAATAGATAATATGAAAATTGGTAAACTCTTCCAGATAAAGAAAATAAGAAAGTGAGTAATAGGTACAAGAAGCAAAGCTGAAAGTACTCCCCAAATGAGCTCTGGCGACGGGTGGTAGCAAATAAAATTGGGGTCCGTAACACGTGAAGAGCAGAGGATTTTGCGAAGCCCAAATTCCAAAAGGAGTTTCATTTTTTCCAAACAACCTCCATCGATGCCTTCTCGCCTTCGCTTCTCAACTTCAACTTGGTGATGCTTTTACATTTCTACTGATTTTAGATTCAATTTCTCACAAATATTGATTGGTGATCATTTTCGTTTTCAAACCCCCGTCGATCATCGAGATTTCAAGCTAATTTAAGATTTCGAAACCCTAAATCTACAGACGTTTGATTGGTGGACTGGATTTTGGAAAGCTACAGCTAGGGTTTTGAATTTGAGATCAATATCAGCTCGTTGGGATAAATCGGATTGAATTGAATTAAGAGGAGGATGAGTTCACAGAAGAAGAGGAATTTCCAGATAGAGGCGTTTAAGCATCGGGTGGTCGTGGATCCGAAGTATGCTGAGAAAACCTGGAAGATATTGGAGCATGCGATTCACGAGATTTATAATCATAACGCCAGTGGCCTTAGTTTCGAAGAACTTTACAGGTTTTAGTTCTTATCCTTTTCCTTACTTCGTGATGTGGTAATTGATTCCTTTCAATTCGTCCTTCTGTGCTTTATATAGCTTTGTGATGGAGGATTAATCCGTTTTAGGTGTTATGACTTAACGACTAACGAGATATCTAGATTTTTCTGACACTGGTAAGACATAAGAGAGTTACCAAACTATATTATGCATGAATTTCTTCATGGTTTGATTGCTTATGTTGGACTGGATATCGGAATCTTACTAAAACGTGTGTGAAGATTTGGCATGCCAAATGAAGTAACCATAAAAACGATATGTAAAGGCCACGAAAGAGCTTTTTTCACATATCTCCATGAGCGAGGTGATAGTTATTTGGGTGGATTCGTATTGTACCACTTAACTGATTGAGAAGGAACAGCTTTTTCGAGATGAATTTCTGAAGAAAAATAAGAGGCTAAAACATGCTTTCTCTTCTTTTATTTGTCGTACTTTACTTATGAGTCTTAACTGTAATTACTTATGAGTCTTAACTGTATTAACCCTCTGTGACGAAATTTTCATATACTGGTCTCTCAAATGGAGTGGTTGAGTTAGTTTTGGTCCAAGGGGAAGGGGAGGTTTTGCATCATTCTATCATTTGAAGAGTTGGCAACTGCTTTTGACAAAAATTTAGTTGAGTCTGGTTCTGTGTATATAGTTATGCTGCTGTACCTTTTGTCTGGTTCTTGGTCTTTAAGTTGATAAAACCTTGCTCCATTTCAGCTTCCTCTTTCCTTGTTCTTAGCTGTAGTCATACCATCTGTATTATACAGAATAATGAATCTTTAATTTTTAACAGATACAGCTGCTACAAGTTTTTCTATTCTATATGACTGTATGACTATATCTTAAAAGTTGGTTCTGATACAAGGATGTATGGTTGTTATAACTGTTAAGAACAGTGTGTTCTCCAGCGATCTACTTATCATAACCATATAGCTAATCTTAATCCGTTATGAATTATAAAAGTGCTACAAACTTCTGTGGATTGATTCTATGTATAAGGTTCTAGTCTAGCACTCTTGATTAGCTTGATCTGGATAAAAAAATGCTGCACTAAGTAGATGTTAACCCTTTCTTGTAATAAATACTACATATTGCAAAATTCATCTAAAAAGTACCGTTTTGTAGCTGATATGCTCTTTCTTAATGTTACATTTAGATAATTTTATACATGGTGCCACCCTTTTTTGTTTTTAGGCTAAATAATTTCCAGGTTGAACAGTAGGTATCTTTAACGATTGTTCAAAATTATATATATATATATATATATATATATATATATATATATATATTCACTTTTTCACTTTCCATGCAGGAGTGATAAAATCACTCATGGAATTGTTGCTAGATGGTGATTTGACCAGATATATGGCTTGTTACCTCCTGTGTGAATCTGCCTGCCTAATAAATTTGTTGTGTTTTTGAAACTATAAGATTTTCATAGTGGAGGAGTCTGAGTTTACATGGAGGATTATAATTATAGACTACAACTTAAGATAAAATAAGTATCTATATGCATCACATTTCTTCTCATTTTCCATTCGAAGTGCCTTTTGAATTCTAGTATTGGAGTTTTATTTGACTTATTTCAAAACTGTCAATCACATATATCATTGTTTTGTGTTAAAGCTTAAGTGTATGTGTATAGCAAATGAGTACATGCAATAGATATCATCTTCCATAGTTCCATTCTTGTTCCTTATCAAAGTGAGTTTTTTCTGCTAAAGGTGCCAACATGGCATGCTATGTTCACATCAATGCCATGTGGCGTTGACATGGAATAATCGTGAGTTTTGACATGAAGTGGTGTTTTATATTTATATTTCAGGAATGCATACAACATGGTCCTCCACAAATTTGGAGAAAAGTTATACTCAGGACTCGTGTCAACCATGACTTTACACCTAAAAGAAATAGCAGCATCAGTTGACGCATCACAAGGCCCATTATTTCTAGAAGAACTCAACCGAAAATGGATGGAACACAACAAAGCACTACAAATGATCCGCGACATACTAATGTACATGGACAGAACCTTCATTCCTAGTACACACAAAACCCCAGTCCACGAACTCGGTCTCAACCTATGGCGCGATAACATCATCCACTCAATCAACATCCAAACACGCCTCAAAGACACACTCCTTGAAATTGTCCAAAAAGAAAGAGGTGGTGAAGTCATCAACAAAGGCTTAATGAGAAACATAGTCAAAATGTTAATGGATTTGGGTCCCACAGTCTACCAAAACGACTTTGAAAAACCGTTTCTTGATGTCTCCGCTACTTTCTACCGTGGTGAATCCCAACAGTTCATCGAATGTTGTGATTGTGGGGATTATCTGAAGAAAGCCGAAAAACGTCTGAATGAAGAGATTGAAAGAGTGTCGCATTATCTTGATGCGAAAAGTGAAGTGAAAATAACAAATGTTGTCGAAAAGGAAATGATTGAAACCCAAATGACGCGATTGGTTCACATGGAGAATTCGGGATTGGTTAACATGATTGTGGATGATAAGTACGAGGATTTAAGCAGAATGTACAACTTGTTCCGGAGAGTTCCGACTGGGTTAATGTTGATACGCGATGTCATGACTTCTCATATCCGGGAAACTGGGAAACAACTTGTGACGGACCCCGAGCGGTTGAAAGATCCGGTTGATTTCGTGCAACGATTACTCGATGAAAAAGATAAACACGATAAAATCATTAATCTCGCGTTTAACAACGATAAAACATTCCAAAACGCGTTGAATTCATCGTTTGAATATTTTATAAATTTGAACCCGAGGTCGCCCGAATTCATCTCCTTGTTTGTTGATGACAAGCTTAGAAAAGGTCTGAAAGGGGTAAGTGAAGAGGACGTGGAGATCGTGTTGGATAAAGTCATGATGCTCTTCCGTTACTTACAGGAAAAAGACGTGTTTGAAAAATACTACAAACAACATTTAGCAAAAAGACTTCTATCCGGAAAATCCGTGTCAGAAGATGCAGAAAGAAGCCTGATTCTAAAGCTGAAAACCGAATGCGGGTATCAGTTCACTTCAAAACTAGAAGGAATGTTTACCGATATGAAGACATCTCAAGATACAATGCAAGGGTTCTATGAAGCGATGGGGCCCGCGTTATCCGACGGGCCCACACTCACGGTTCATGTTCTAACAACCGGGTCATGGCCCACTCAATCCACCACCACCTGCAACCTCCCACCCGAGATCCTATCTGTATGCGATAAATTCCGTACGTATTACCTCGGGACCCACAATGGGCGCCGGCTGACGTGGCAAACAAACATGGGGTCCGCGGACATCAAAGCGACATTCGCTAGAGGACAAAAACACGAACTCAACGTGTCCACATACCAAATGTGTGTCCTAATGCTTTTCAACAATGCGGACCGGTTGAGTTACAAGGAGATCGAACAGGCGGTTGAGATACCCGCGATGGAGCTGAAACGGTGTCTACAGTCGTTGGCGTGTGCCAAGGGTAAAAACGTCCTTAGAAAAGAACCGATGAGTAAGGATATTGGGGAAGATGATGAGTTTTACTTTAATGACAAGTTTAGTAGCAAGTTTTATAAGGTGAAGATTGGGACGGTGGTGGCTCAGAAGGAATCGGAACCGGAAAAGCAGGAGACGAGGCAGAGGGTGGAGGAGGACCGGAAACCGCAGATTGAGGCGGCGATTGTGAGGATTATGAAAGCGAGGCGGGTGTTGGATCATAATAATATTGTTGCTGAGGTTACAAAGCAGTTGCAATCGAGGTTTCTGCCAAATCCTGTTGTGATTAAGAAGAGGATTGAGTCGCTTATTGAGAGGGAGTTTTTGGAGAGGGATCGGGAGGATAGGAAGTTGTATCGGTATTTGGCTTGAAGAATAATAAGAATAAAATGGCCATGTGGTACTGTTTTCTATGATTTCAGTTTCTTTTGGTGGTGGAAAGTGGATTGTTTGGCTTCAGGGATTGGATTTGTTGTTGAAATGGATATGGATATGGATGCAGATTTAGTTTCAAGTAATTGTGTTTTGATAATTTCTATTTATTTTGGTTGTGTTATTATTTGGCTATCAACATACCATATACGAATCTACTACAAAGATGCTTGGTTTTTACCTAAACCAAAGTTTATCATTCATTTGGATTATCGGAAACCCAGGCAAATATAAGGTCCAGTCAATGGATATTCAGAAGTTTGATTATCATTAAACCTTATAATCTTTACTCATATTTCTAACACTTGTTGGATATGTGAATGTTGATCTTAACAATTTAAATTGGCCTAGGCTAGTAAAAAGCCAAGTGCTTTTGGCTTTGGTGGTTGTTTTTGAAGGCTTGTTTATTATCGTTTGTGTAGGTATGGAACCACGGCTTAATATTGTTTCTAACCTAAAACCATTTAAAGGTTTAGTTGGTATGTAAATCATGGTCTCAGGTGACGACTTGAAGTTACTTTTGTTCGGATTAATGGTGATCACTTGGGATTCTGGCGCTCCAAAATGAGTTATCCAAGTTCGAATACCAAGACTTAAGCTTGGGATGACCTTACAAAATAAAAATCACATTAGAGAAAAAAAGTAATTTTGTTTATTATAAATTTTACTAGAACATAATGAAGATGAGTGAAGGAGCTTAAGAGCTTTAAGCCACGTTAGAAGTTATAATCTATAATAATATTTTGAAGTTTATGTTATAATTGATTAAGATGCAAATAAATAAATGTCCTGGTAGCCCACAATGCGTAACAACACATTGGTCTTTGGGTTGGATAGTTATAAAAACAGTCAAAAATTTGTGTCTGCAAACCTATGAGAGTTTTAATTCGAATGCTGGTTGGTTTTTTATGACAAGCAGAGGCAATTACTATGTTATTTTTTTTTAGAACAAGTGGCAAATGCTTCATAAGTAAAAGCTAGCAAAAAGTTGGGAGATACAAAATATAGTTGTCTAAACAAAAAAAAAAATGTACAAAATTGATTCTAACATAATTCTTATAGGCTAAACGGTGTAAACTAGCTGAATAATCTTGGAATATAACAATCCAAGTCGTAAATTAACTTTCTAAGTTAGTACATACATGCGTGCGCATACATGCATGCAGTGACGGAGCCATGACCAAAGTAAAGGGGTACCCCCGATAAAAAAATTCGCGTAATATACAATAAGAATAAAAATTATAAAAAAAAATTACACTACTGAAATTTTTTTTAGGGGCGTCCCGGACTTCCCCAGGATGTATACTAGATCCGCCTATACATGCATGTACATATAATTCTATGTCCATACACATATACAAAAAAAATCTTAATAAAACAATAAAATATTTTTGGTTTTTGTCTTTTTGAGATATTGTTATTGTTTTAAATTGTAAACTATTCAACTGAAACTCAAATAAAAGTAAAAAAGAAAATTAATTGCAACATGTAAGCCATCAGCAATCCCGCGAAAGGGAATCCAATTGTTTAGTAAGAACACATATCTTTAAGTTGGATTTATTAGACGCTTAATTGGGAATCCAATTGTTTAGTAATAACACATATCTTTCAGGTAATAAAACATAACCTACATACAAAGTTGTTGCTTTCTTACCGTGTGAACATAATATATGCTTTTCTTATTTTGTTTCCTCCTCATCAGAAACCGCCTCCCTTCGCCTATCCTCTTACTGAACCACCTTTCTCTGTCTCTCCTCTTCCTGAACCGCCTCTTTCCGCTAGATTTGAAGCAAAAAAGTCACCGGATTTGAAACAAAAATTCAATGCAAAAAGCCACCAGAACCACCACCGCTATGAAACACCACTCTGGTGGGTGGGTGGCGTTGGTTGGTAGGATTTTAATTGTTTTTTGATTTATATAATTTTTTTATGCTCTTAATTAAAAAATATTAAATGACTGATTTGTTGTCAGCGTTCTCAATTTTATAATTGTTTTATTTGAACAAATTTTTTTCTCTCTCTTTATATATATATATATATATATATATATATATATATATATTATATATATATATATATATATATATATATATATATATATATATATATATATACATCTTTTCTTTTGTAAATTGCATCAATGTGTATATATAATCTTAGTACTTGTTGTTAGGGGTGAACAAAGTAGTTTTTTTTTTCAAAACCGAACCGGTTCAGTAAACCGGTTTGATTCCGATTCGTAAATAGTAAAACCGGTTCAGGTATAAACCGGTTCAGTTCAAACCGGTTCCGTCTTAGAAAAACTCGAACCTATCTAAACCGGTTACACCGGTTCTAAACCGGTTCGATCGGTTTGACTACCGGTTCTCAACCGGTTCACGGTTATTAAACCGGTTTCAATGTCTAAAATCTCGAACGGGTGCAAACCGGCGGTTCGGTTCTTGAATCGGTTCGGTTCCTGGTGGACCGGTTCGTAGTGAACCGGTTTACCGGTTCAGTGACCGGTTCGGATCCTGAACCGGTTTTTTTGTGCAAGCCTACTTGTTGTGCATACCAAAAGTCCATTGGCTTAGTGGTATTAAATGTTTGAAAAGGGGTCCATGTCATGTGATATACACAACTCTAGTTTAGAAATAGGGTCGTTACTATAAAACGGTGTTTGAGATTTTATTAAAAAACAATTTATTGAATTATTGGTTTTTAAAAAAAATAATAAATGAAAAAAATGTTTGACAGTATAAAAATGACTTTTAAAATAAATTTTTATCAACTTTTCAAAAGACAGATTTTAATAAGTTGATATTTCTAATTTTTCAGAACTCTTTATAGGTTTTTGGGTTGTAAAAAACAATATTACCCTAAAATACCATTCAAAACATGTATAAGTTAAATCAAACATTTTTTTAAAAAACAACTTATTGATCAATGGCGAAGCTAGGATCAAAGTAAAAGGGTATCCCCGCAAAAAAATCATGTAATATACAATAAGAAAAAAATGAAAACCGGAATTTTATTAGACATAAAGTTCAACTTCCATAACAAAGTTACGTTTTAAAGTTCACCTCTTCACTCTTTCATTTTACGGAAACGATGAATTACAAAGAGTGCTAATCGATATCTGTAACATCTGTTTCGATTCCGATAATTAGTTCTTTTAATTGTTATAAAAGATAATAATAATAATAATAATAATAATAATAATAATAATAATAAAAGTAATACTGATAGTAATAATAAAATTAAATCATTATTCTTTGAATAAACATTATATATATCTCAAGTGAGTAAATAGCAATTTCTAGAAACTGTTTTAATTAGATAAATTGGCTTAAGAGTAGATTCCGCTTATATGCTTGAACCCGAGTGGTCAATTGTGTCAAAAACGTAATCTCTTCATCTGTTATCAAGATAACAGCCGATGCAGCTGCGTATCCATGGCTTTTTGCTCGATTTAAACATACAAGTGCTCGAATCTTTGAAAGCCTCTTAACCCTTACCCTTAGTAACATTCCCTTGGACCATTTGAATCGCTTCTCCCTCCTTCTTAGCTACCAAACCCGAGAGAAAAAGTCTGAAAAAAGAGTGAGGTCGGCTAGGGTTTTAGTGGGGAAGAAGACAATTCAAGCTCAACATAAACAAAATATACTACTGAATTTTTTTTTAAGGGTATCCTGGGATACCCCAGGCTCCAAGGTGGATCCGCCTATGTTATTGATTAATTGACTTTCCACACCATAAAAGTTAATCAAAAATACTTTTTTTAATAATTCATTTTCCTATTACCATAGGTCAATAAGTCTTTTTACCCATTTTAAATTCAAAATAAAATCTTAAACACCCTCTAAAAAAGTTTTAGACTTGTTTAATTATATTTTATCTGAGTATATTGGCAGTAGAGGTGGCAATCGTGTCGTGTCGTGTCGAAACACTAAACGGGTTGAAAGTGCTTGACGCTAACCCGACCCGTTTAATTAACGTGTCGTGTCGTGTCAACCCATTTATTTTCGTGTCGAGTTCGTGTTGGGTTTCGTGTTAGAGTATACCTTGAAATATGTCGTGTCATGTGAGGTTAAAAGATTGTGCATGCTAAAAGAGTAGGAATTGGGTAGACGGAAAGGAAAAACTAATAGTTTGGAGGCAGAATAGATGAAGTCATAGCAAGTTCAGATGACAAAATTGAAAGAGTACGAGCCGAAGAGGTGGAAGACAAAATCATGAGGATGTGAGAGTGGTCAAAGGGACTGTGTAGTTAGGGAGAGAATGAAAAAACTGAAAATGAAGTCTTGATTTAGACGACTAAGTCATTTCCACATTACAAAACGATTCAATCCAAATGTTTTTTTTACTTATTGTTTTGGTTTTGTATCTTTCTAGTTTATTTAAAGAATTCAAAAAACTTACCTATAAATAAATGGATCATTTTCGAGTCATATTCGAGTTGAAATTCTCAACCCTATCCTTACCCGTTTAATTTCCGTATCGTGTCGTGTCAACTCGTTTATTTAAACGAGCAGAAATATCTTACCCAAACCCGTTTATTTCGTGTCGAGTTCGTGTCGGGTTTCGTGTGATCGTATCGTGTCAATTTTTGTCACCTCTAATTGGCAGATAACTCAATATTAGTATATGGCCATTTTCATATATATATATATATATATATATATATATATATATATATATATATATATATATATATATATATATATATATATATATATATTGAGTATAAAATAATTGTTAATTTTAAACCTTACATTAAACATTAGAGCTATTCCCAACTTTAAATGTAATATTTTGTCCAATCATGATATGTTTAGATGAAAAATATTGATAATTATATATATTGTTGTATTATAATTTATACGGCTAAATACATTGAATAACAACGACTCTGGACCAATTCCCATAAGATCTTAATTACTAATTAGAATGAAAATTGTCATGATTTTTACAGGGAAAGATTTGTTTGAGGTATCTTCATAACATCCAAAAACTTGACCTCAGACGTTGACAGATTAAACACTCACATTTGACAAAAAGAATGATAGAATAAAAACTATATGATAAGCATGGAATGGAGGAAAGTGCCATTTTTGGATCCATAGATGACTAAACTGTTCCTATATATAAACATATATATTATTCCAATTCACTTTATTATTGAAAGTTTTCTTGTCATCTTGTGTTTGATTTTGTAAGAAACATACAATAAAAAGGCCAAGTTATCAGTCTATTTACATTATAAATTATCACTTAAACAAACCAAAAATAATCATGTTTGATTGCTGTTCCTAACACAATGTTCCCTTCCAAGGTTCCTTCATTCAAGTTTTTGTAAAAACCAGACATACCCCTTTTCAGGAAGCATATCGGCTCCAAAATGATCTATTTCTGCCTAAGTGTCTCTATAACAAAGGCTCTAATCCGGGTTTTCCTCTAGTTCAAAAAGCTTTTTCCTTCCTAGAAAGGAATTAATTTCATTAAATGGATGATCTCATGTTACCTGGTTTTAGGTTTCATCCAACAGACGAAGAGCTTGTTACTTTCTACCTAAAGAAGAAAATTCAACAACGGGTTCTTCCTATCGAACTTATTAAACAAGTGGATATATACAAATACGATCCATGGGATCTACCAAGTAAGCTTTCATGAGCACTCGAGTCAAGATTTTTGTTGTTTATGTGTGCTTTATAAACTCATATTCCATTGTGTTCAACAGATTTAGCGCCCACAGGAGAAAAAGAGTGGTACTTTTACTGTCCAAGGGATCGTAAATACAGGAATAGTGTAAGACCAAACCGTGTTACAGGAGCTGGTTTTTGGAAAGCCACTGGCACTGACAGGCCGATATACTCATCTGATGGCACTAACTGCATTGGTTTAAAAAAGTCTTTGGTGTTCTACAGAGGAAGAGCTGCTAAAGGGATTAAAACAGACTGGATGATGCATGAGTTTCGTTTGCCTTCACTCTCTCCATCTCAATCCTCACCACCTAAAAAGATCTTAGATAAAAGTCTTCCACCAAATGTAAGAATTTCACTTTTTCCTTTTGACATGGTATAAAAGGATGGGCTTAATGAATTAAATGAGATGATAACCCTTTAACCAAACTCTCATTCTTTTCGATTTCTTTTAATCATATTTAAATCCATTTATCTTTGGGATATATACACTAAAGTTTCAATATTTTCATCGATTTGACAAGAAAGTCCTAAACTTTATTTTTTTGACAGTAAAGTCCAAATTATCGGCAATTTTTGACACTTTCACCCTTTTTTTCCGGTTAGCCGGTAATTAGGACTTTTTTGTCAAAAAAAATAAAGTTTAGGATTTTCTTGTCAAATCGTCAATTAGGACTTTATTGTCAAAAAAATAAAGTCTAGGACTTTCTTGTCAAATCGTTGAAAATAATAGGACTTTAGTGTATATCTCCTTTTTTTGTTAGAAATTTAATGGTAGCATAATCTTTAAGCATAAGAGTTATTAAAACCTTCTGTAGTCAGCTAGATCCTATTGAAATCCTTAACATTTGCTTCTTGTTAAATCGTTTTTTTTAATCTTAACAAACAAACATTGAAAAAAATGGAGATAATCAAAAAGAAAGAAAGACCATGGTTGTGTTGGCTTTTTGTTGTCCCAAAAATGGAGAAATAAGAAACCGAACCCTGATTCTTTCTTTCTTTATTGATTATCTCAATTTTTTTCAATGTCGGTTTGTTGAGATTAAAAAAACGATTTAACAAGAAGCAAACGTTAAAGATTTCAATAGGATCTAGCTGATTAGAGAATGTTTTAACAACTCTTATGCTTAAAGAGTATTATACCATTAAATTTCTAACAAAAAAAAATTATATATACACTAAAGTCCCAATATTTTTAACGATTTGACAAGAAAGTCCTAAACTTTATTTTTTTGACAGTAAAGTCTTAATTGACGATTTGACAAAAAAGTCCTAAACTTTTTTTTTTTGACAAAAAAGTCTTAATTACCGGCTAACCGGGAAAAAAGGGTAAAAGTATCAAAAACTGCCGGTAATTTGGACTTTACTGTCAAAAAAATAAAGTTTAAGACTTTCTTGTCAAATCGATGAAAATATTAGAACTTTACTTATATATCCCTTTATCTTTTGTAAAATATATGGATTAACTATCACGAAACATCACAAACAAGATATGGATTAATAATCCATCGCTATTCGTGTGATGGTGTTAGAGACGTATCCTAATGTCGCATAAAAGAACGTTGGCGGCAATTTATTGACCTAATTCAGCAACAGAAGAAGCCGTTGTTAATCCGATACATTTTATTTAGTAAATAGTCACATATTGGCCACATACGTTTAGCGATAAATTAACGTAGTTAAATATTTAACTTTTATACTTGAACTTGTCGAATATGTAGTTCAATTTAATTTATTAATCATGTTATTAAACTTTTAAAATTTTTAAGTTTTTGAATTTTATTGTTGTGATTTACAGTTTCATTTATAATGGTTCTAGATAAACAATTCAATTATTATTCAACATATAATCTACACAGAAGGATAAGCGATGATTTTCCTTTTCATTTTTAGATTGTTCATTGAATCCAAAAAAAAAAAAAAAAAATCTATGTTTATAGGTTACTTACTTATCCCTTTTGCGTTTTATCTATAAATCATTTATCGGTTCAACACTTTATCCATATAATAACTAATATGGGAAAAAAGTAACAACCTTTAAATTCCTTTTTTTATTCGCAGGATGCCTGGGCAATATGCAGGATCTTCAAAAAGACAAGTTCCATGGCACAAAGAGCACTTTCTCACTCGTGGGTGTCTTCGTTACCTGAACATAAGTCATCTGATCTTTACCCCGAGTCTAACCAGCCATCCAACAATCCTGACTCACGACTCTCCTCTCCCAACAGTTTTACAGCTCTTGACAACCCCTCATACACACCCGTGAATATGATCACTTCAATAGTCTCCCCTTATTTAATCCAACAAACAGATTTTCCTAGAGGTTTCATGTTTTCAACCGTGGATATATCAGGGCCAATCACAACGAGCACATCTGATGTTGCTCCCAGCTTGTTCAATTTTGATCCCGATGCAAACAGGATTTCTGAAAGTATGGGATTGGGAGGTCCACAACAACAATTTGACACCTTCTCAATGAACTCACCACAGGTTATGCAAGGAAGTATCGACACCGAGTGGGTAAAGGTGAGGACTGGTGCATTCCCTTTAAGCTTGCCATCAACTGTCCCTGATGATTGGAATCTTAATATGCCATGGGATTCTCCTACATGTCCTAGCGAGATGTCAACTACATACTCTACAAATGAATGTCACACTTGATCATTATTATACTTTCTCATCTTTTGTTCGGTCTTATTGTACAGGACTTGAATTTTTCTTAATTTTATGTGTATATATATATCATGTATTATATTACCTGTACATGCCAGAACAAAAGATAATACAACTATCAGGATAATGAATTATTATATATATTTGGATATTCTAAGATGGGCGCAAGTCCTTTTACTTGCTTGGTCTTGGACATATTTTTGTTTAATGTGAATCTCTGTGGAGACTGATTTTACTTACCACTATTACAAATGATTGGGAGAGTGTGAGTGAATTATCATACCCTCATTATTTGTTGGTCTCGACAACCAACAATAGCATAAGAGTTGAGTTTAGTGGAAACTAATGAACCCGCCACTAGGGGGACTGCCCCTTGGACCCTGCTAGGAGCGATGAGTGTACACTCCTCACCTCTAAACTCAAGCTGAACTTATCTTAAGTAATCCATGTTTGATTTAGTATATATCCCAGGGTAGTCTGGGATACCCCTCAAAAAAATTTCGATAGTGTAATTTTTTCCAGATTTTTTTTTCTTATTGTGTATTACGCAATTTTTTTTTGTCGGAGATACCTCTTTACTTTGATTCTAGATCCTGGATTGATGACCACTAAAATCGCCAATATTTCTAGAACTGCTTGTGTCAAAATAGTAAATTGCTGTTGGTTTTCATATTTGATACTTTTTTCTAGTAGTGTTTTATTGGATGGCCCCATGTGGGGAAAGAAGAACAAGATGGGTCGGGTTGTTGAGCATCAGATTGCTTCCTTCTTCAGTTTCCTTCTAAATGAGTCCAGATAACCATCATTCATCCACGTTCTTAGACATTTTGATTATATATATATATATATATATATATATATATATATATATATATTATATATATATATATTATATATATATTTTCACTTGATTATTAGAGCAAAACTATTTTTCCTTTATATACTTATACTTATAGTCATATTTAAATCTAATTATACAACACAAAATATCAAATAATCTGATATTATTTGTCGTAACAACATACTCCTATAATAAAATATTTAGTGAACATAATATTTAAATATAGTCAATATCTGAAAAATGCAAAAGAATGATCTCAAAAGAAAACTTGATAATACATGGCCAAAATACGCCAAAAGTAACAAAATCAGTGTCTGCTAATTTTTTTTTGATGCAAACGGCCCTTGTAGTTTGCAAAACTTGCACATATGACCATTTTTACTAACGCCGTTACGATGTAGCCGTTATGGATTGAATCTGTAAGAGCATTTTCGTTAGGGGTGAGCATGGTGCGGTTTTAAGGCCAAACCGAACCGCAAACCGCATGGTGCGGTTTTTGAATTTTTAAAACCGTTGGGTGCGGTTTTGCAATGGTTCGGTTTTACGGTTTTTAAATACGGTTTCGGTTTGTATCGGTGCGGTTTCGGTTTTAAACCGTGTCTAGACTTTGGTGCAGTTTTTTATGTTTATTGGTGCGGTTTTACAACCGTAAGAACTGAAAACCATGTGCATGTAAGCTTGTATTATGATGTTTTTTTTTTTCAATTTTGAAACCATTCATTTCCAACCCAAAACAAAAATACATAATCAAAAATTGTAAGTGGCTTAAAATAGAACATGTGACTACTCTCACAAACTAATTAATAATCGAAGGTTGATTTATTTTGACTTAATTTGTTACAAGCTTATTACACATATCGGTTACTACGTTTGGCTAACAACAGAAAATTTCTTTTGCACCCCATTTGGTCTTACACAAACACAAAGTAAACATATATATATATATATATATATATATATATATATATATATATATATATATATATATATAGTAGTTTTTTGGATAAAAACCGCACCGCACCGTTGACCTTCGGTTTTTGCAAAAATTAAATCCGCACCATTGGTTTTTGCATCGGTTTCGGTTTTTCGGTTGCGGTTCATTGCGGTTTTGTCGGTTTTTTTTAGTCGGTTCGGTTTTTGCTCACCCTAATTTTCGTCTTTTCGAGTATAAAAGGACTGAATTCGTGACATTTGGTAAACCACATTGACCATTTTTGAATTTTTTTTTGAAAAAGACAACTAAATTGCTAGGGGGAGGGATCGAACTCATGACCTCCACCCCCTTAAATTACCAATGCCCTAACCAATTGAGTTGAATGATCTCTTTGTTTATTCTTTCCTAAAACTAATTTATATAATAACAAAATCGTTAAAACATAAACAATATATAAATTATAAAAAACCTTTTTTACATAATTTTTTCTTAAATAAAACAAAATGCATTTTAGTCGTATTATAAAAATAATAATTTTTATAAAAACTTTGTATGTATTTTTATGTATTTATTTTACGGAAAATATATTTTTTGTCTTTTAAAAAAATACGTTTTCATATAAAAAATACGTTTTCGTAAAATATATTTAAAAAAAAAATAGCTTTTTTACAAACAATTTGTATGTATTTTTATGTACTTATTTTACGTAATATATATATATTTTTCTTTAAAAAATACGTTTTCGTAAAATATATTTTTTAAGAAAACACGTATTTAAAAAAAATACGTTTTGGATTATATGTATTTTTTAAAATACATACTTCATATAAATTATTTAAAATACGTATTTCATATAAATTATTTGTTATTATATAATTATTTAAAATACGTTTAAAAAAAATGTATTTCATATAAATTATTTAAAATACGTATTTCATATAAATTATTTGTTATTATATAAATTATTTAAAATACATTTTTAAAAAAATACGTATTTCATATAAATTGTTTAAAATACGTATTTCATATAAATTATTTAAAATACGTATTTCATATAAATTATTTAAAATACGTATTTCATATAAATTATTAAAAATATGTATTTTAAAAAAAAAAATTGTTATAATATAAATTATTTAAAATACGTTTTCAGTTATATGTATTTAAAAAAACATAAAAAACCTATTCGGTTATATATCTTATTTAAAATATGTATTTCATTTTAATCGCAAATTATAAATCGTATGGTTAAAATGAAGATGGAAATACATAGTGATATATCTTTTTGAAATAACAATTATTAACACTATTCTTGACATAAAAAAAACTGTATAAATTGTTTAGATACATAACACAATCGTTGTTAAGTTGTTTTTAATACATATAACCGAAAAAATGGTTTTAGAACTAGCGACCCAAAAAAATGTATATATTTTTTTATGTCATGAGTAGTGTTAATTATTATTATTTCAAAGACATAAAAATTAATATTTTATGAAAACGTATTTTTTAAAGACAAAAAATATATTTTACGTAAAATAAATACATAAAAATACATACAAATTGTTTGTAAAAAACTATTTTTTTATAATATGACTAAAATATATTTTGTTTTATTAAAAAAAATTATGTAGAAAAATCTTTTTTATATTATTTATGTTTTAACGATTTTGTTATTATATAAATTAGTTTTAGGAAAGAATAAATCAAGAGAGTAATTAACTCAATTGGTTAAGGCCTTGATAATTTAAGAGGGTGGAGTTCATGAGTTTGAATCCATCTCCTAGCAATTTAATTGTATTTTTCAAAGAAATTTCAAAAATGGTCCTTGTGGTTTACCAAATGTCACGAATTCAGTCCCTTTATACTTGAAAAGACGAAAATGCCCTTACAGATTCAGTCCCTAACGGCTGAATAGTAACGACGTTAGTAAAAAGGGTCATCTGTGCAAGTTTTGCAAACCACAAAGGCCATTTGCATCAAAAATAACAGGGACTGACTTTGTTACTTTTGGCAAACCACATGGATCATTTTTGTAATTTTGTCTTTAAATTATAATACAAAAACATTAGAATATTTTTACATTTAATCCAAATAATCGATCATGGTTAATGCAGTCTTTTTTCCATGGCCAACGGGCCCAAGCAAAGGTGTATATTTGGCCTGATTAGTGAGTTTTATCTTTAAAGAAAAAGAAGTTGATAAAATGACAGGATGTTGGTTCGTCTATTTCGACGAATCCAAAAGGATTGAAATCTCAATGTTTAATACGTGTCGCGTTTTAAGTCAAACCAATATAACTGAATTCCAGCATATTCTTTTAAAAATAATGCTTGAGAAATTGTATTATTGTTGATTAGTTCTGGTGTGATAAAGTTCGAATTGCATTATCGATTTTGCTTTTGTTAGAAGATCAAATTCTTCTTGTAAACTCATTAAAACCCAAACATATCTTTCTTTTATCATATAGTTAAATAGTTCATTCACCTCTAGCCTAGAAAAAAAATATTGAATTACACTATATTTCTTAGGACATAAAATACCATATATATTAAGTTTTTTCCGAACTACATTTCAATTTATTTATTTTTTCATAAAAAAAACATTCTAGTTATTATTATTATTATTATTATTATTATTATTATTATTATTATTATCATCATTTTAGCTGCTTTATCCACAATTTTCCGTTTTGTCTTATAATTCTCATGTTTTTCTTTGTTGCGTTTACGATGTTTTTCTTATTATTTTTAACATTAAGTTATGAAAGAAACATTTGATTTTTCAAAAGAAAGAGATAAATGATGTGCCCAATTTATTCTTGGCAAAATACATATGAGAATCTATTTGCATGATGCTAAAAAATTGTAGTAGGCGAAGAACAATTGTTTATTGTGACTTGAAATGTTTTTAACTAAAAACATGAAAACTTATATTAGATTTGAAACATACATTGGTGTTTGTAACTTTGTCTTTTTATTTGGTTCTTAAACCAATCTAAGATACCAAACCAACTTAAAACACTTTTTTTTTTCACCTACTATAATCTTTAAAGCATTCTGCAAATAATTTTTGATATGCATTTTGCCAACAAGAATTTGATACAATACTCTTTCTTTTTATTTTGATCAAACACATGCTTCCTTTAATGGTAGAGCTAGACAATGCATTGGTGGTACCGTAACATCCTCAAAACATTTTGTTAATTTTAATTCGAAAAAAATAAATATCATCTTGTATTTTGTTTCTATCAATTTTCTTACTCATATAGAATAATGACATATAGACACCATTAATTCTCTCT